ACGGTAGCTCGACGACACGCCCCCATGACACCTGCCACAACACCTTCCGCAACATGACAACCCGAATGACACGACAGGGAACCGTCAACCCCGCCAAAAACAATCACAAACAACACACCATCCTGGCGTCAGCCTTTCACGGTTTGAGCCACGGTTTTGAGCCTGTTTAGGGCGAGTTGGGGTTTAGGTTTCTGGATTTAAGGTTCGGGGTCTAGGGCTCAACAAAATTTCAAGCTTATGGTTTTGCTATTTGGGAGTTGGGGCTCGGCTGGACCCTGAACCTGAGCCCAGGGTCCATGGCTCGCTCATTGAATTTTGCTGGCTTTCGCATCAAGAAGATTCCCTTTGCGGCTCGCTGTTTTCTCTCTTCCACTCGGTCGTAGCCTGTGCAGCCTGTGGTTCACAGGTCTTACCTACGTGAAAAGTCCCAAGTCGTCACAGGAGCTCGCGGTGCCGATCTGCTCCAGGCAGGCGAGGCCGTAACACAGCACAGTCCCCACTGCTGCGACATGCATGCCGTTTCCTGCCATGGACTTCACCTCGCGATCGTTCAGCATGTTTCGCTGCTTGGCCTCCATCATCGGCGAGCGGAAGCCCTCAGAGCCACAGCCAGGATACACAGGATCGCCCATGAGCAAGTGCAGCTCCCAAGGCATGAAGTGAGTCTCCTGCGTCACACTCACCAACTTGCCATGCTTCACCAAGGTAGGGGAGTACTCTCCGGAAGTGACAAACGCCACGTTCTGCTCCAAGTCTGTGACGTAGGCCCGAGCGTTTCCCACTCTGCTCTTGTGCTCTTCCCACCGCAGGTTGTCTCCTGGAGGCAGCGTCATAGCCATGCCGATCTCAAGCTTGTCCTCGCAAACAAAGCAAATACACAGAGAACGAACAGTTACAGTAGCTGTGACCTCATGCCGAAGAATTCATATACGATTGTACACTAACTTTCTCGTCTTTGCACAGCAGTGGCAGGTTCTTGAACAGGTCGGCTGCAGTGCTCCCTACCCGGCCTTTCAACGCAAGACAAATAATCAGGCTCTTAGGGTTCACGCGAGCTGATACAACTTTAGAACTTAGGACAAACAACCCGGCCGGCCCCAGCACTGCAGACTTACGACCTTCCCGCCAACGGCCTTGCGACCCCTCATGTGACATGTCATGGACTTGGTTGAAAGGCCATGTTCAGAAACAAAAGCTTTGCGGCAGCAGCCTTACCCTGCTTTTTCAGACTACGTGTTCCGTGTACTTCACTGCTGCACGCACAAGGCTTTGAGGCTTGAGGCAGGAGGAAAGAGCTGCCGCGGAAAAACACGAACCCTACCTACAGCCTACAGTCGTTGCATGGGTGCAACGGTCGGCAGCTCTAGGCTGCCAGCTGGATGACGGATCATCAGACCATCGCGGCCGGCGGCCAACGCGATCTTCAGGAGCTCGGGGCACACTTGCTTTCGCAGAGCTTCTCCACGTCCGCCCAAAACTGCAACAGGGGCGCACCTTCTCCCGACTGCGCTGTCACGTGTGTGCGCAAGAAGGTAAGACCCTCGAGTGTCGTGGGAACGGCTGGCAGGCAGCACGTCTTCAGGCCGATCACCATGTTGTCGCCAAGAACCCGCTCAATCACGAAGCTTGCCATCGGAGTGTAGAGTGTCTCGCCGGCACTCAGCACCCCTCGCCAAACCTTACCGCCGAAGGCGCGAAACTTCTCGAGGGTGTCGAGGCTGGACATGGCGGTCGCCACCGAGTGCATGTACTGGAAGAAGGTCTCACCCTGCTTGGGGTCGAGGTTCTCTTGCATGGCAAACTCCAAGAGGCTGCGCATCGGGATGACGGCCACCTGTACTACAAACAAAAGTCGAAAGAAACAAACATGTGAACACCACAAGAATGCTTACAAACTACGCTGTCTTGCATCATGTGTTGTTTCCGACTCCCTGGCGACATCCTGTGGTGTTGTAGTGTCGTGTGTTGTTCGATTGTTCGACTGCCTGGTTGTCCGGTTGTGCTCGTTTTTGCTGCTTTTGATTTAAGCCTGGACCTGAGCTGTGTGTTTGGCATCGTCATCGGTGGCACTGTTGTGGCCATGTTTGAGCACTGGTTTCATGGAACCCAATGGGAATGTTCTTCGGGCCTGGTTGGTTGGGTTGGCTTAGGGTTTTCATTTGTTCTTCCAGGGTACAGCAGTACAATGTTACAATATCTATTAACCACTACTTGGATTTGGGATTCGCTTGCACACACAACGACTAAGTGGCAGCAGAATAGGACACCAATCACACTGAACATAACCAATGCACGCACCGAGACTGTAGCACAACACATTCCAAGCCCCGGCCTCCTTGTTGCCACTGATGTGGTACCGCACTGATGGAAGGCCTTGCCGTTCTTCAGCCAGAAGACCATAACCGGCCAGATGACCGAAGAATGCCACATTTCGGATGGCTCGCATGCTGACGGCCTCGTCCTCCGCTGGCACGGCCACCTGCTTGGAGCCCACGGTAGTCAGCATGGCCTCGCGAACCCGGGCACGGTCCTGGAAGTCTGCTGCCTTCTGGCCGGTTTTGTCTGCCTTGGCAGCATCACTTTGGGCGAACATGATGCGGAAGATTCCAACTGATGCCTTCACGGCCCGTTGCTCCACCAAGCTCTTGAGGGCGTTGTCCTCTTTCAGGATGTGAGGCGTTTCCAGGCCCACGCCGTCCTTGCCTTTCAAGGCCTGCAGGTTGTCATAACGGGGCATGTCAACGAAGGCAGCATGCTTGCTCAAATCAAGGAAGTCGCACTTCTTGGAGGCCGCAGCTCTGCGCGAGTTGTTTCCCTTTGCTGTACCAACTGTTGTCTGGCGGCCTTCCTCTCCCCCTTCCTCTTGTCTTGCTCCTGCTTCTTCTTGAAAGCCTCAATGTTCTTGAGCACTGACTTCTGACCATTGTCCACCACAGAGATGAACCTGTCCAAAGCTTGGACATCTTTGCTCAGGGAACTCTTGAAGCTCTTCAGAGCATCCTCCGAGCAGATAGCCCGGATAGCATGGCTGTACATCTCGATGTGGCACAATGTCGGGACTGACGCCGTGTCCTGCAAGGGCACTGCCTTGCCTTCCAATCGTCGTTTCTCGACCGCCTGGGCGAACAGGGAGTTGGATGCAAGGGCGGCGGCGGCATTCTGGAAGCAGCCCTTGAGCTCAGTCACCTTCGCCAATCCGGGCTTCGGGCCGTCAAATGTTCCTGCCTTTCCATCCTCAGTCGGAGCCACGTAGCCCATGTTTGAAAGCATGGCCTCAAGTCCCTGCTGGATCACCAACTCCTCGGGCTTCTCCGCAGTCCGAATGAAAGTGTCCAAAGTAGAGACAACCGTCTTCTCCACGACAGCAGCATCCATGCTGGCCATGTTCTGCTCCACCACGTGCAAGGCCGTGTGAACAGTCATCAGGGCATTGTGGGCTTTGCGGGTCGCTTCATGATTCAGGGTCGGTGACGGGCTGCTTTTTGAAGCACACACACCCGCCAGCTGCAACAGCTCCATCCTGCAAGACGTCGGGGGAGGAAGCTTTGACGACCATAGGAGGCGAGAGTGGAAGAGAAAGAAAGAGAGGGAAAAAACGCGTGCACAAAACCATTTTGTGTTCATATTTTTTAGCACGAGTGAAAGCAAGAGGGAGAGAGAGAGAGAGAGAGGGAGAGAGAGAGAGAGAGAGAGAGAGAGAGAGATATATATATATATAGGGGGAGAGAGAGACATGTGGCAAATCAAATGACATTCTCACAGCAACAAGTAACCAGCGAGTATCGGAAAACCAGTACCCCACAGCCAAACAACAAACCCATGTTAATCAAAGTCCCAACCTGTAATCTGCGAGCCGAAAGCCCCACGCCCTGCACTGTGCATTGCAACGGTTTCGCCTTGCCTTCCCCTCATCACGGCCATATACTGGGCATGCGTGGGCACGTACTCAGCATCCGTCTCCTGGGAGTGCTTCGCCGTGTTCGTTTCGATGTCCTCGCCCTCCTGCTGGATTCTGGCGACCTTCTCTTTGAGCTTGGTCAGCTTCTGACCAAGGTCAGCGTGCAGCGAGAGGCGAGCCGTCTCACAATCGAACCGGGATTTTTTCTCGGCGCCTTGGCTGATGTTGCTGGAAGCCTGGGCTTCCTTGTCCACGGCAAAGCCACCCTGGAAGTTTCCAGCTCCATGCCTCTGCAGGAATGCACTGCCGCCGCTTTGAGCAAGGACGCTGGCAACCTCGCCACCCGCAGACTTGAACATGTCCGACTTGAAGCTAATGCCCTCTTGGAGCTCGGCTGCATCGGCCTGCATTGCCTCCAAGTCTTTCTCGCTCGTGATCTTCCGACGCTTGCTTTCAGAATCCACGGTGGTTTCAAAGGAGACGATCGATGAACCCACGACCTGATCCTTGACGTGCATCGGCAGCCTCAGCGACCTGTTGGGACCGTTGAAGTCCTGTTGTGATACGTCCGTCTTCTCTCGCACCTCGTTCCACTTCATCTCCGCTTCCTGCGGACTCCAGCGCAAGTTGGCCACAGCATGGTGGATCCACTGGTCCCGATGCATGAACTCACAAATGAATTCTTTCTTCATTTCTGTTCGCAAACAATGCTTCTGGTTCAACATGGCCACTTCAATATGTGCCCTTTTTTTGCCCCTGCCCGCTCCCGGGCAGCGCTCTTCATACTCCAACATAAGCCTGGAGAAGTTGCTGGGGGGAGGCCCGCAGTCCTGGCGAATTGCATTGAATGCGTCCATGTTCTCGGTCGTCTTGCCCTTCTTGTCTGCTTGCTTGCAAGCAGCGGTGTATGCATCCACCGCACGTTTGTGGTCAGCACAGTAAGCGCTGTTGCTCGGGTGGAGCCCTACAACTAGGCCGCAAACGAGACAAGGCTTCTGAGCCTTCGCTTTCGCCGCAGCTTTGGCTTTGGCTTTTGCGACGGCTGCTGGAGTCTCCGCGACTGGTGCGTCCCCCGCCTTTTTTGGGGACACAGAAAGCTCAGGCTCCTCCAAAAGCGCCTGAAAATCTTTCTGCTCTTTATTCTCTGCTTTCGAAACCATCGCAGCGATGTTCTCTACTGCCGAGGCAGCAGTATTGAGATCCGGACCCCAGCTGCAAAATCAATCTACGGCACCAACACGGATCAGAAACACACGTGCAAAGCAGCTACCACGCATCCATTGCTCATGTTTGCAACGACCTCACACACGCAAAACCTACTCTAAACTCACGAAGCACCGGTCCTCGGCAAAGAAGTTGCCCTGAATCTGGGCCAATCGTTTCATGTAGTCCAAGCGCTCAGCCTGCGGGGCAATCAAGAAGTCGTCGGCGGTGAGCTCCGGAAGACCGGTGTTCAGCATGGTGGCCACAAAATCATCCCAGCTGCCTAAGAACCGGAAGTCACGGCGAAGCCAGCCAAAGGAGTACCTGCGCGGCCGTCGCACAGGCCACCCCAACTGCACCGGGGAGAAGACCCCACTCATGAAGTCGTAGTGCTTGCCGAGGTGATCCGTCAGAAGGCTGATGGGGCACGTTTCCACGTTCTCGAACAACAAGAAGCTCGGCAGCTGGTCAAGGATGATGGAGCACATACACAAGAAGGACTTCATCCGTGGCCCCTGAAGGCCCTTGCGCTTCCCGTACTTGCTGAAATCCTCGCAAGAACTGCCGGCGATGAAGCCAGTCAGTGGCCCCATCTCGAGACGCTGCTGTGACAAGCCAGAAAGACTAGCACGGAAACGCTTCGCCGGCCTGCACATGTCAGGTGACAGCGAGGTCACTCCCACCTTTGGCGGTGGATACAAGGGGCACGGACGGTTGTGCAGCAAGCACCAGCCTTTC